TTTTCCCCCTTCTGGATGAACCAAGAGCAGTGGAAAAGGGAGGTCCTCTGGGCACCATAAGGCACAAAACCAAAACGCATTTTGGAAGAACTAGGTGAGGACTTCCATCTGCTTGTATGAAAATTTATAATGGAAGTTTCACAGATAGCTCATAGTTATCTGAATCACTTGAAAGGCAATAGGATATGGGGTACGACAAGGCAGTTTCCATACTGCATTTTTTCCCCCTTGAGAATGTGCCCAACATAATTAATACAGGTGAAAAAACAGCAAAGACCATAATTATTTACCTTGCTGGATAATTTATCTCTTGTTTAGTTGTCAAGGTACCACCTTCTACAGCTGCATCCATTGCATGTCCCTTTCCTGGAGCACCTCATTAGCACTATCATGAGTCTAATTCATATGGCAGTTACCACTGCTGTGAAGTAAAAATCCTTCATTCCTGATACTATGAAGTAGGCGAGACCAAGTCTATGTTCATTGGTAAGCATACCAGGAAAGATTTGCAAAAACTGGTAATTGCAAGGTAACAAATAAGGGAAAATAAATCCAGATTTATATCATGATGATGGACTGTTCATTCCTTATTACCTCTGTTGAGAATGTTTAATGCGCTGGTACAGGGGCAGCCCGGGTAAACAACACAAGGAGCACAAAGGTCTCTTCAGGGAAAAGCTGGAAAGAAATAAGCCCCATGAAAACATCTGTGAAAGGTGACAGATCTGCTTGGGGACAAATGGCTCTAGAATTTCTGGGGGAAAAAAGTAAATACATCAAGGGTAGATCATACCAGTGCAAAAATACAGTAAAAAATATGTTTTGTGAAGAGACAGAAAAGATCCTTCCCCTCCTCTCCTGGCTTTTCTCCAGCTCTGCTGTTTCTCCTGTGGTGCAGAGTGCTTCAGCATCTCCCGGCACTGGTTTCTTCCGTGTGTCTGCAGACTCATCCGAGCTCATCCTTTCTGATCCTTGTGCCTTAACTCAAAGGAGTAAATTATAGCTGTTGGTTTTGCATCCAGAAAAGAAATAATCCACACAAACACTGCAGCTCTTCATGCTGAGCCAACATTAGCAATGAGTGGTGGTGTTTGTTTGAATTCAAATGTGAATAGCTTGAACAAGGGATTCCCTGTTGAACATTTATAGAAGCGTACACGTTCAATAGCTATAAAATAAACTCTGCAGCTGAAAAAACCTGGTTGCTTGTCAAGAGTAAAAAGAAGATGCTTAGTGTAACAGTTTATTTTCTTTCAAAATTCCAGTAAATTAATTTATTGAGTTTAAAAGGTTGTGAATGATCAGTTGCAGAAATGACCTCCCTGTAGTGGTCATGGGAAGCAAGAAAAGAGAGAGTAAAGTGCAAAGGAAAACAAAACAAAGAATGAAGGAGGGGGCTAGGGGGGTATGAATGTAGTGGCAAATAGCTGGGGAGAAGAACAAAAAAGAGAGAAGAAATGGAGAAATCTGGAAAGGGGGAAAATGAGTGACAGATGAGAGACTAGGAAGAGTCTTTCTCCGGTTTACTCTTCAGAAATCTGAACATACAACATTTAAGGCCATTGGAGTCTCTGTTCAAAATTGACCCACTGCAGACTGTCCAGGAAAAGACTCTGAAGGTTGTGTTTCCTGATTTTAACATTCTAGTTCTTTCTGTCCTCTATGGCTTCCTAGCTGCCATGTATCCTGGGTGGCCATGGATCAGTAGAACAACAGTGTTGTAGAAAATGATCATGTCTGAGGGCAGGGAAGATCTTGGTGCATGGGAACAAAGAACAATGCTCATCCAAAAGGAAGATAGAGACGTGTGGTGCTTAGAGATGGACTCCTGCCTGAGCAGTGTGGCAGGAGGAGAAGCTTGAGCAAACCCATCTCCTAGGAGGTGTTGCTTGCTGGCTGGTCTGTGCAATGTCACCCCGACCCACTGGTCCTGCTCACAAAGGCACCTGGCAGCCAGGTCCATGCTCCAGTGGCTTCTCCTCACAACTTGCCAGCCATGTTCACCAACCCGGACACACGGGATAGCTCCCCCTTGTCCAGATCCGGCTGCCGGGACTCCACTGCCAGCACACGCAGCCACCAGGCTCAGCTCTGCTTGACCCAGTGCCAGCTGAGGCTGCCCACAGCAGAGCTGCTGCCCAGGGGTGCAGGGATTCAGTCTGGGCACCTTCCTGATAAGCCCTGGACACTGTCTGCCAGGCACAGACACAATGAACAATAGCGGGAATAGATCCATCATGGGACTAGTTTTCAGGGTGCATCCATCCCTGACTGGTGGCAGTGAGATTCCTCAAGAGTCTCCCCCAAATGTGGTACTCTGCAACATTTTCATCACATTCATTTGGTATTTTTCTCTCAGTTTTGGTTTTCTTTTCAGTATTGATCATGGCCTAAAGGAAATGAAAGAGAAAATGGTTTATGAACAGGATTTAATAAATTTCCAGTTACCATGGTGATGGTAGAAGGACATGTTAGAAGGCTGTTCTGAGTTCTGAACTATACAGGGTTTTCATTAACAAATTGCATAATGGAATGAAGACTGTTATTTACTGCATTTGTAAATAGGACGCTGAAAGGGGCTGCAGCATTTGGGAAAACACTGGAGATTGGCATTTATTTTGCAAAAGACAGGAACAATTGGTGAAGGTGGAATAAGCAATATCTGGCAATGCAGAGATTCTGCAGGAAAGGTATGGGGCTGCAGCGGGCAGCAAGTTACACATAATGGTACAATGTCGTTCTGTTATGGAAAAGGCAGAAATCATTCTTTCTAAAACACAAAACAAACAACGGGTAATCGCTTGTCAGGCACTTAAATTAATCCATTTATTGTTCCATACTGCTAGACTTTCAGGTAGTGTGGTGTTTACAGCTTAGGGCAACATACTTGAAGATGATGGCTGGGGAGAGCCTAGAGCTGAGATTGTTAAGAGACCAACAAAATATGATCTGTAACAAAAATCTGGAAGAATTGAGATGATGGGGAGGGGAAGGGGGACCCGTGATGCCCCAAATCTGGAATAAAGAGTACATGGGGAGGGAATAATATGTTCCCCATGACTAGGGAGGTTCAGATGAGAAACAGTGGACTGAAACCACAACAGTGAAGTTCAGTGTTGTTTATAGGATGGCATTTCAAGTGGATGGAGCATGGTATCTTGAAGAAGGTGGAATGATATGGAGGACCAGTTATTGGTGATATTCCTCAAGAGGTTTAACATTTCTGAGATGGGTGATTTATGATTGTAAGGAGCTCTGCCTTAGGGATGTGGAGAAGTGATTTTGAGGACTGCAGCATCTGTAAAGAAAGGGGCTAAACATGCACACACACTGCTTTCACAACTAGTTCTAGTTCCAGTTCCAGTTCTTCTTTATTCACTATAGCATGGTAATATATAGCATACAGATACAGGTCTGAACTATGAAGCCAAACAGAGACCACATCAGTCGCAGACTGTCTACAGTCACTATAAATTCTGTTCTATAAACAATCACTCCCCAGGCTGTTTCCCAGCCCGCCCTTGCACCCATGCACACAAATACTCCCCGGCTTGCTCAAGACCCAGGTGCACTATGAGCGATTCTTCTTCTTCTTCAACTATCCACATAGCGGGAAGAGGACAGCTTGCAGTTCTCACAAGGGCATCTACAGTTCCCTGCATTTTTGGTGACAAGACAGAATAAATCATTATGGTTGTGTTTTTGCTGGTAAACTGAATGGTACAAGGGCCCACTGTGTGGTCCTGAGGCCAGTGGGCATAACTGGCCACATCCCTAGTATTAAACTCCACTCTAGTCTTCACCACTGCCCTGGGCAGCCTGTTCCAGTGTTGACAACCCTTTCATTGAAGAAATCTTTCCTAATATGCAACTGAAACCTCCCCTGGTACAACTTGAGGCTGTTTCCTCTCAAACTATGCTTGTTACCTGGGAGAGGAGACCGACCCCCACCTTACTGCAACCTCCTGTCAGTTGAAGAGAGCAATAAAGTTTCCACTGAGCCTCCTTTTCTCCAGGGTAAACAACCCTGGTTCCCTCAGCCATTCCTCATAGGCCTTGTGCCCTAGACCCTTTACCAACTTTGTTGCTCCCTGTGTAGCAGGGAACCATCTAGCCAAGTGTCTTTAGTCTGACAGTGGTGAAGATCTGATGCTTAGAAGAGTGGAAGAACATGGCAAACATGCACTAGCATGTGTTTGGAAGTGCATTCAGTTCCAGCAGTCTGAGGTTTGGGTATTGTTGAGTTGGTGGATCCATATCATTGTGCTGAATGCCCCTCATTTAATTTTATGGATTCCATGGACGTATACAATAATAGAAGGTGGAGGAGAGCTCTGGAGGTCATCTGGTCCAGCCAGCTGCTCAGAGCAGAGCAAACTTCATAGATTGACTGCCTTTCTTGCATTTGGAACACCTTTACAATTTCTTCCTCCGCAATATCCATGGCAATGAATTGCACCATCTTGTATGCAGTATGAAAGAATAATTTCTTTGTTCAATGCATCATACTTTTGTATGTCATCTCATAGTTCTGTCTTAGTCAAGGACATTTACAGTTTTGATATCGCTGTCACTTGTCTCCACACACTCGTCTCCCCCAATAGTGGAACAGTCCCAGCATAATTACTATCTCTTTGTCTGAAAATAAGTCTCCAGCTTTCACCATCCTTGCTACCATCCTTTGTACCTCTTCTTGTCCTGCTTATGTGTGTGGAGACAGGGACACCAGCAGCATGCGCAGTACATAGCATGAAGTACCCTCAAAACTGCTACAGCGACCCACTGATTTTGTCAGCGCCCATTCTAGCAAATCCTAATACTCAGTTTTACTTCCCAACTGCTTCTGTACACAGAGGTGATTTTTGTCTGAAGTGCTCTTTGGGAGCACCTCTTTCCTGGAAGGTGAAAGTAAGCTTGCCATCACTGGGTCTTATCTCCTTATGCTGCCACTCAATGCTGAGATACTTTTGCCTTGCAGACCCAGTGCAGTCAGGTTTCATTTCACTGAATAACCTTCTGTCAGTATCAGAGCTCCCCAGGCAGCAGGGATCAGCCTATCTCCAGCCCAGAAATTAAGAACACTTGAGACCACAGGTCTGTCTGGAGGGTTTATGAAGAAGAGGTGATGATCAAAGTGTCTGCAAGTGGTTGGCTCATCCAGGCTCCTGGGAAAAGGCTCTCAGCTCCTCAGTGGCATGAGAGGGGCTGACAGAACAGGCCACATTGAACATGGTGTTTGCTAAATTTATCAGAGAGATTTTTCAGTCCTGGCTCCTGAAAGGGTGATACGTGGACACCAGGTCCATCCCAAGCCAAGGCTACTCACACCAGGGCCCCTCTCAGCTTGTCCAGCCCCTCATGGAGACAGGCCTAAGCAACAAAGGAAGAGTTTATCAGTACGTTGTGTCCATGGCTCAGCTCTATTACATGCAGTTGCATCCCTGCCAAAGATTGAGAAAGGCCTGAAGCCGTTTGATATTGATCTTGTTTCTTAAGAGGTCCCTCTGCCCCAGCAGATCTGTTCTATATACTCACGGTTCGCTCCTGTCACACTCAATGGTTTTCATTTGAATTGGGTATTGATACCAGATGTGGGGAGAGCAGAGTTTTGATAACATACCCAGGTATAGGGTGCAAGGGCTGGTGGGTGTGCAGTGAACCTTGAGAGGTCCCATGCGCAACAGGACCTCCCCCAGCCCCATCCTCTGCCCAGAAACACACTATAAATGTGAGGATCCCCAGCCTTGCCACTCAGCAGAGTCCAGCTCAGGCTCTCTCCAATCCTCCTCTCTCCAGCCTCGCTGAGATCCTGCATCAACTCCAGCCATGAAGTTCCTCTGCCTTGTCTTCGCTGTCTTCCTGCTGGTCTCCCTGGCTGTCCCAGGTAAGGGGGTGAATTGCATTGGAAGGTGAGATGGACAAGGGTGGGAGAACCAGAGTGATGGGGGTCAGAGTGCGACACATTCAATAGGCAGCTTCAAGAAACCTGATCTTCCGTTGCCTTTAAAGGCTGTGATTTTGTTCCCTGTATAAATGTGTCTAGACCTTTCTATATGCAGATGGGTGCTGGCCTCCTGCAAGCATGCAGGTGACTTGGTTACCCCTAGGTTATCTTACATTGGGCTCTATGTTTATGTGCAGAAAATGAATCTTTAAAGAAAAACAAAATCACTTTAAAATACTGTCAGGGGTACATTTAGGATGTTTTAGAAGTTTTTTATGCCTCTAGATCAAGGTGAGCTGAGTCCTACTGAAGTGATTTTAGCCATGGAGCATCAAGTGAGAACTGGGTGTTTTATAGACACCAGTTGCTTGGATGTTTCAGTCCAGTTCCCAGTAATTTTAAAGTGCAGAGCTGACAAATAGCCCTCCACTTCTGGTTCTCACCTCCCTCTTCAATGAACAAAAGGGAGATTTGGGACTCAAAATGGTCCCCAGTCCAATATCCCTTCACACTGGGCATCATTTCCCAGCAATTTTAGGACAACAGTTTCCCACCTGGCGCCTAGTGTTTGGCACTTGAGCCTCTTTCAACACACACAGGTCAGATTTCTGGTTACCACAGAAGCTGCCACCTGAGACACCCTCCATACATTTTGGATCACCAACTCTGTTTTTTGAAACTATTTTGGTGTTGGTTTTGCTCCTTTGCTCTAATCCTGTCTCTGAATGACAGGTGCAAGACACCTGTGCAGCATTGCATAGGTGAGCATCCCTATGAACTTTGGTTTTGGGCTGTCTCTCAGGAGGGGAATGAATGTGCTCTCCTGGGAAGCACCTATTTCCCAAACTACATATGTGTCACCAACCAGCCCTTAGTCACCAGCTGCAGGGAGAGGGATGCACCAAGGGTTTCTCAGGCTTGTGCTCTTCAAGGTCCTTTCCTGCTTTGGGGCTGGGCTTGTGGCACACTTATACCCAGAGGTGATGGGAGGGCAAGACAGTGACACAGAGGCACTTCTGACTCAACCACTCTCCCTCTGTCTCCCCTTACAGGCTATGGGCAGATCAGGAAGTACTGCCCCAAGGTGGGCTACTGCTCCAGCAAGTGCTCCAAGGTGGATGTGTGGTCCTTCTCCTCTGACTGCAAGTACTACTGCTGCCTCCCACCCGGCTGGAAGGCAAAATAGGAGCTGCAAAGGAAGCCCGTGGGGAAGAGGAGGCACCGTGGTGGCTTTGGGAGCAGCTCTTCACCTGTCCAACCCAATTGTCACCCCCTCCTCTCTATAAATAAAAGGAGAAAAAAAGGAGATGGAACTTCTGTGTGTGGTGTGGTTACTGGTGTCCTGTGATCCCATAGAAAGCTTTAGCACAGGTTCTGCAAACACAGCCCAAGAGGCCCATTAGCAGCACATTTCATTGTTCTTTTTGCACAGAAGTCATCAGAAAAGTGCTAAACAGATAGAGTTCTCCTCTGGTTCTCAGAGTGGATTCTGTCAATGGTGGTTGAAAAAGGTCTGGTTGGAATAACACCCCTGAGCCTCATGGCAAAACATAAGGGTCTCATATGTGGGAAGAAGCCTGGTTTAGACCTGGGTCTCAAGAAACCAGTATCCATCTGGGATCTAGGCAAGACACTTGTTACCATTTCTGGGTAACGAGCAGGAAGGGGTGGCTGCAGTGCTTACATATTCTCTTCAGAATCTTACAAAGATCTTCTCTAGAAGGACCTCTGGGGGAACATAATTCCTGTCCCCTAGTTCCCAAACACTTCTCTGTTGAGACAACCCACAACAGCATCTCTTGGAGTCATTTACAGGTGCCTATGGATACAGCAGCCATAGTTGGGCCTGTAGAGGGGCTATCTGCAGCAGCTTTTTCTGCTGTGATGGTTTTGTCCATCCTCATCTGTGTTGGCCACAGGTCCTGCCAGGAGCCTGCTCCAGCGCGGGCTTCCTGCAGGGTCACAGTTTCCTTTGGACATGCTCTTGCTCCTGTGTGGGGTCCTCCAGGGGCTGCAGGGGGATATCTGCTCCAGGACTTGAAGCAGCTTCTCCCCTCTTTCCTCACTGACCCTTATGTCTGCAGGACTGCAGCTGCCATGTATTCTCACTCCTCTCTTCAGCTGCTGTTGCACAGCGCATTTTTTCCCCCTTTTTAAACACATCATCCCAGAGGCCCTACCACTGTCACCAATGGGCTCAGCCTTGGCGAGTGGTGGGTCTGTCTTAGAGCCGAGTGCATTGGCTCTGTCGGCATGGGGGAAGCTTCTGGCAGCTTCTCATAGAAGCCACCCCTGTAGCCCCCTCTGCTACCAAAATCTCACCAAACAAACCCAGTACAACCTTGCATATAGATAATTTGGTAATTGTCATTTTAGTGATGTCCTGTTTCATGTTCCTATGTCCTAGCTGTGGTTTTGTGAGTGCTGGTAACGATAAGGTCTACTGAAATCTTGTAGCATCTGAAGTGTCCCTGGGTTGTGGGAAGAAAGTCCCACAAGGTTGGAGAAACCCAAGAATTATAAGGGAACACAGTGCAACAAAGCAGGGAATAATAAAAGTGAAAAACATAGATAGAGAGATCCAAAAGGGATTACCCAGTAATGGCCAGCAGTTGCAGAAGGCATTCAAGGAGCTACCTGCAAGCATAATAAACCCACACTGGCCTGCAACAAGCTTCCATCTCCTTCTCTTCCAGTAAGTGCATAGCCAGCCTGAATAAAGCAAATACCATTAATGGTTAACTCTCTGGACCTTGGGTGCAGGATGTATAAATGGGAAGGTGAAGAGAAGCACGTAACCAAAATCCCTGCAGCAGATTAGAAGAGGGGCTGCAAGCTGCCTGCTTTGTTTTCCTAGAAAAGGAACAATTTGGTGAATGGAACACATCTCCCACAGCATCAGATCTGACCTCCCGGTGAACATCAGTGTTGTCGAAATACCTTCTCACCAACTCTGGAGAAACTGCAGTTCTCTATGTTGGACAATGAGGCCACTGTTAATAATGTCTTTTAGGGTGTTCTGTATGCCAGTGGTCTAGGGCTTGATTTGGTGTAAGTGAGCCCAAGTATTTTACAAGACACCTGTGTGTGTTGGTACACTGAAGTCATTGTGGAAATTCTCACTCTTTCAGCAGAGGATCCTTCCTCAGTCAACATCTGAATTTCCCTTCTCATACATTTACCTTGACCAGTGAATTTAGTAAGTAAATTTACTTTAGAAGAGTGGAAAGAAAGTGAGGGGCCTTAAGACTTGGGGTTCACAGGGGTGCAGACAAATCTGGAAAAGAAAGCATATTTTTCAGTGGGAAAGCAGAGACACCCTCATATTTATAGACTGCAACAGAACATGTGCAAGAGCGGAATAATGAAGTGAACATGAATTGCTCTTGTTTTTCACCTAAAACCATGTCACTTTAATGCAGTGATGTCATTTATTCACCCCTATCATGTGACACTTTCATGGCACTCCACATCTTGAAAGACAGGTATCTGGGGAAAAAACCTCTTTGTCTTTCATATACCTTTCAGCTAGAGTAACTTGAGGAACTATGGCAAGTACCAATTAAAATGGAACCATAAATTGCAGATCCAAAAGAAAGGGTGCTTTTCTGAGGCCCTCTTATAGAAGCTGCAGGTGATAATAGATGGGATCCTGGTTGTAAGAATTCTTTTTTTTTCCCACTGCTTTCCTCTATATCTTATTTTGAGTGAAATATGACTTCCACAGAAGCATTTTAAAGGAAACAAGCTGCATAGAGCAGCAAAACCTCACTTTCCACACAAATCTGGAGTTACCATATTGTCTGGTGCTATACATTTTAAAGATCTGTCTCTTCTTGTAGTGACAGTCAGTACATCTGCCCTGGAAGAAAGAGAAATGCCAGGCATAATGAAAACGTCTGGTCCAATGATTGGTGTTAATATGCCCATCTGCTTCTCTGTCACTCTTACCTACCTATAATCACAGACAGCAATCGGGGCAGAGCCTTCGCTGGCTTTTCTTGCATCAGGACATGGACCTTTCTGCTTGAATAAAGCTTGTATAAATAGCAAAGCAATGACCCATCAGGGCTTTTTCTAGTTGATGCTTCCCTTATAGGAGGGAGGCTGAAGGATCACCAGATCTGAGTTTTCACTCTTGGAATGGGACATAGAAGTCTCAGTGCTTCTGCCTGTTCCCTCTTCTTGCACAGGGACATTAGCTGTCATTAAAATCAGATAAACACTTTCTCCCTGAAATGGGAAAATCATTAAAGAGCAAATAAAGGGTCCCAAAATGAATGCCTGGAATTCCGAAACAAACGTAATGATGCTGTTCCCAGCTCTCTCTTCCTCTCCTAATTACTTGCATCTCCAGTCTGTACTGGGCAATGAAATAGCTAACAGAGAGCCATTCATTTGGCATGTAAAATCAGTTTGATTTTTTCCTATGTGCATCACTCTACATGGATCTGCACTGAATTTCACCAGCCAGTTTACAAGCCAGCCACGAAAACGAGGTCCTTCCATAGCCATCACATTTATTACCCTGAGCCATACAGCTCCAGTAAAAATCTTGCCATCTTTCCATTCAACCCCTCTTCCAGACCTGTTTATGATCAAATTTACCACTGAAGTCCCTACAGTGACCTTCCCCATGATCTAGCTCTCCTGCAGCTTGACCCCATTATGCTGGTCCCTGCTCCTTGCATCCCAATCTCTTTAGTCCTTAAAACCACTGTCTCCTCCAGGGAGTATTACTAGGTTTTTAAGACAGAATTTTCCTGGTTTTCTTCTATGTTATTAATTATAACGGGCATGTTCCTGGTTTGCAAATCCTGTAGGGCCTTTTAAGTTTGGGTTTGGTTGTGGGTTGGTTTTTTTTTTGGGGGGGGGCTTTTTTTTTCAGAACATTAGCATCTCCCCATCTTTGCACTGTAAATTTTTGTTAAGCAATAGATCACATGCTGCCATCAGGAGGAAAACTATTTAATCCTTGAATTCCCTTAGGAGCTTTTTTTGGGGGAAAGATCTGGGTGCTGGTGATTTGTTGTTGCTTATTCCGTCTTTTCCACCTCCTTTATATTTAAGACAAATCCTTCAATGAGTCCCCTCCTTTCTTTCTTTTAAGGTGAGCCAATGCCTCATTTAGCAGCCATGGAGTGGCCTTAGCTTTTATTAGCTTTACAGCTCTGGCCTTTTCCTACCCTAGGTGCTCCTCATCAGGCTTCCCCTTCCTAATGTGTGTGAGAATAGAAAGACTTCTTTTAAGAGGTTTCTTTGCCTTTTGCAAGTTCTTTCTGCAATTCTCTGCTGAGTCTCCTTATTGTGGTTCACACTTTGTCAGGCACAGTTGATTATCTTTTCTATTTTTCATGTTTGGGCACAGTTTTAGCTCCTTCATTCTAACAACCACCCTCATCCCACTGTTCTGCTATGACCTTTTCCTTTTGCTCCTTCTCAGGGCTTTTTTTAATAGGTGTCATACATTTTCCCCGAGTCTCCAATATGCTGGCCTTAAATAGCTCCCACAGTGCTTGCAAAAAATCTGTTTGCAAGGGTTTAACTCTTTTTAGCTGTCCCTTTTGTCTTCTTTTTAACAATTTCACCATTTTTATGTAGCCTCCTTACTGAAATTAAGCACAGAAGTAGTGGCCTTTTCATCCCTTGTTGGATGGAGTGTAAGTACCATATGATCTGTGCTGCAGAGTAGCTCTCTGGGGTAAAACTCTGAACCAAGCACAGTATGCTATTCAGAACTGATTGCTGTTTGTCTGTTATTTAGCATACCAAAGGCAGTGCTGAGAAATCACTTGTTAGTCTTTGTATCCTACGCTGGGTCACTGAGCCTGTAGCTGGTGTTTTCTCCCTGTAAACATATGAAAACACTGTAATTCAGTAATTAGCAGTACTGGCTTGGTAAGGTATGAATATTCAGCTATTTCTCCTGAAAAAGATGCTTTCCAGGACATAAATCTGCTTCTTGGCATAGCTTGGATTTGTAATATGGACAGATTTAAATTAAAGAGAGATCACAGTTTTAGCACACAGGCCATGTCTTTGTGCTGGGCTCCTCTGCAGAATCCCAGGTCCAATTTTTGCTGATAGAAGAGGTGGGAACTGTAGATGAAGGTCAAAATGAAGGCTGTTTCCCTCCCTCCTTGCATTACACCCATGTTAAATTCCAGTTTGAAGTCCCCAAAACAGGACCCATAGAATCATGAAGTGATTTAGGTTGGAAAAGACCTTTTAGGTCATTGAGTCCAACTGTTACCCCAGCACTGCCAAGCCCACCACTAAACCATGCCCCCAAGCACCACAATTACATGTCTGTTAAACACCTCCAGAGATGGTGACTCCAGCACTGCCCTGGGCAGCCTCTTCCAATGCTTGACAACCTTTTCATTGAAGAAGTTTTTCCTAACATCCAATCTAAACCTGCCCTGGCACAGCTTGAGGCTGCTTCCTCTTGTCCCATTACTTGTTACCTGGGAAAAGAGACTGGCACCCACCTCTCTCCAACCTCCCTTCAGGCAGTTGTAAAGCATGGTAAGGTCTCCCCTCAGCCTCCTTTTCTCCAGGGTAAACACCCCGTGCCATGTCCTCCCTCCTGCTTAGTGCGGTTGGAGGGTCCCTGTACTCCTCAGGAAGCTGCCACAAGGTGCCCCAGGAGGTTATAGAGCTGCAGAGAGCAGGAGCAGTAACAGGGAACAGTTTTGTCTCCTAACAAAGGATATTCAATATAAACTACTGGTGCTTCAAGCTTTCTTAACTGCAGAAACGTTTTGAAGTCTGGAGATGCAGCAGAGCAAGAGACACCACTTCAAAACCCAGTTTGCAGTTCCTTCACTTTCACCTGGCTTTTCAATCTCCTCACATCATTCTTACCTTTTTTTTGGGGGGGGGGGGGGGAATGGGAAAGAAACAGCGAAAGTTGTTGTTCAGTGTTTCCATTTGAGATTTTTATTACTTACCAAACTTTCAACCTTGTGTGTGTGTGTGGAGTTTTCTTACCAACACTTGGTTATTTTAGGTGAGTTTTCCTTCTTTCGTATCATATTGTACAGGGTCAGGTGAAGCTTGAAGTCTGTGGCTTTTGATGGACCATCCTGTCTCAAGTGTGACATTTACCTGCTGCCTATCACTGCCTGATCTCAGCCTCTGTTAACCCCCTCAAACCCAGTATCTCACACTATGCATCTCTTTCGAAAACAGACTCATTCCTCTTAACAACACAAGTATCATAAGAAATCCCACAGCTTTATCAGGACTCCTGTATCCCTGGTCAGTCTTTACACTGGTAAAGGTTTTAAAGTTGTCAGATTACACATTTATCCTATGTCCTATGGTTAAAACAAAGGAGCATAAAGCCGCTCGCTAGGTTATAGCTGTTTGCCCAACACTGCCTGGTGCACAGTCATTTGGACGGCAGTGGTTGGTAACGAGCCCCTTGCAGCACGTTCTGCTGCACATACAGACACAAAGGGTGGATTCACCTCTCTGGCCTTCAGGCACCGTGTATTCTGACTCCCATTGCAGTCAGAGGCGTTTTGAACAAGCAGGAATTAGCCTTAGGAAGAAATTACTTTCCCCCCAACTCTGTACTGGCTGTAGTACCAAAATCTCTGCTGACCGCAGAGGATGCTGCAGAAGAGAGGAGACACAGACATTGTCCCTGCAGAAATTAAGCAGTCTTTCTGTAAGAGAGAGTGGTCTGTATCTCCTCTCTTCTTTTGCAGCATCCTTCAGTGGAGTACCAATGCAGCCTTTTCCAGGGTTTGGAAGGACCCAGGACTGAAAACTTGCTCTATTTCCTGGAGGGTTTCAGAGAAATAGGGCTGTTTTCTGTCCCATGAGCCCGTCAGGGAGTTGACCCTTTTTGACATGTCACCCTCCAATAATGCTCCTGATGCTTGCCTGGCTACCCTTTGCTCTGAGCCATCCAACACCACACTGCTCCGTGTTCCCCTGTAGAAAGCCTGGAGCGAATGGTTTACCATAGGGAAGTGGACACTGAAGAAGTCATCTTGTCTGTTGTTCCATTATCAGTGTCTCCCACTGGAATAATCTGGTCACCGGCTATGTTGAAACGTCACTTGCTTTGTGCAAGTGTGTCCGGAACAGCCACGGGAACACAAACCCGAGTGGCTGCACTGGGATGAGGAAGCCTTATAGGCACCCCAAGAATGGGATTTTGAGAGTGCAAGGGGAATGTGGTGGCTCCAGCCTCTACCCCCTCCAATCAGAATGAGGTCCCCAGTGCAGAGGCTGGATGGAGCTGATGGAGATTTGGGGGTTGTTGTGCCCCCTAAAACTAAACTGGGATGCAACTTGTGGAGAAAGAAGACACACTATTAGGCAATTGGCCCTCCCCCAGGCATTGTCACCACCCTGCTTTGAAGCAATGAGATAATGGGAAAATCCTAAATCCTTTTCCAGTGTGTCACTTTGGTGTCATGGGTCTGGGGCTGTCAAAGGTGTGTACTGATCACAGTTCAGAGAGGTCTGGCTACGGAACCTCTCCTGGCACTCTGTCACCCAGGAGGTGAATGAACCACACAGCACACAGAAATCACATCCGCCCATCTTTACTTCAAAGCAGTGAACACGGTGTTGGCCACACCATGAATACAGTGCTGGGAGCTCCACTGCTGCTCTTCCTCCATGGCTGGGCACTTTCACAATCACTTCCCCTTTTTGGGTGGGGGGATGCAGCAGTACATCTTCCCACAGGACTGGCTGAAAGTCCACTCATCCCTCTTGGCACACATGTGGGAACAGTACCCAGCACACCTGCCCTTGAACTGCCCGTACCCTGTAATGGGAAGGAGAGAGAAATGGATTGAAAGAGGAGGTGTCAGATATTGTAGGAGGGCAGATCCCCAGAAGTTATCTCTTGCTGGCTCCAGGGCAGCGCAGGGTACCTCTGGGTTTAGACCAACATAGAATATGACCGATGCTTTGTGTCCCCATTGAGCTGGACTCCTAAAAGTCATCCCTCTAAACATGTCAGCACTGCAGCTTGCTGGCAAGATCAGCAGTACAGATAGGATTTTGCAGTGTGGCGTTCATCTCACCCCGGACTGGTTGTGCGAGGTTGGGTAATGCATCAGCCAGAGCCAGGGGCGCGTAGCTGATCTGCAGTGCAAACCTGGGTGAGATGAACCACCTCCACCACCCCAGTGCAAAAAGGCTGGAAAGGGGACAAGCACCCATTCCCCAGCCTCACTTTCTTCACCCCCACGCATTGCATCTTACCTGGAGTGGCCAAGGAGAAAAGCAGGAGCACAGCAAAGACCACGCACAGCACCTTCATGTCTGGAGGCTAGCAGAGATCTCAGCGCACTGGGAGCAAAGTGGGTCTGAGATGGCACAGTGGGAATCTCGGAGGTCCTGGGTTTTATAGAGGGCTTCCTGCCTGAGCAGTGCAGCAGGAGGAGAAGCTTGAGCAAACCCATCTCCTCGGAGGTGTTGCTTGCTGGCTGGTGAGTGCGATGTCACCCCGACCCGCTGGTCCCACTTACAAAGGCTCCTGGCAGCCAGGTCCATGCTCCAGTGGCTTCCCCTCACCGCTCACAGAGGGACAACTCCCAGATCCGGCTGCCAGGACTCCACCACCGGCACACATGGAGCCTCAGGGCACAGCTCTGCTTGACCCAGTGCCAACTGAGGCTGCCCACAGCAGAGCTGCTGCCCAGGGGTGCAGGGATTCAGTCTGGGCACCTTCCTGATAAGCCCTGGACACTGTCTGCCAGGCACAGACACAATGGACAATAGCAGGAATAGATCCATCATGGGAATAGTTTTCAGGGTGCATCCATCCCTGACTGGTGGCAGTGAGGTTCCTCAAGAGTCTCCCCCAAATGTGGTACTCTGCAACATTTTCACAGAATTACAGAATGGTTTGGGTTGGAAGGGGCCTTACAGCTCATCCAGTTCCAACCCCCTGCCATGGACAGGGACACCTTCCACTAGAGCAGGTTGCTCCAAGCCCCTGTGTCCAACCTGGCCTTGAATACTGCCAGGGATGGGGCAGCCACAGCTTCTCTGGGCACCCTGTGCCAGGGCCTCACCACCCTCATAGTAAAATAGTGCTTTGTTCTATCTGGTCTGAATCTATCCTTTTTTAGTTTAAAACCATTACCCTTTTTCAATCCCTGCAGGTCCTACTAAAAAGTCTGTCCTCATCTTTCTCCTAAGCCCTGTTTAAGCACTGGAATCTTCTCTAAGGTCTCCCCTTAAGGAGCCTTCTCTTCTCCAGGCTGAACAAGCCCAGCTCTCTCAGCCTGTCTCCATAGCAGAGGTGCTCCAGCCCTTGGAGCATATTTGTGGCCTCCTCTGGACTCACTCCATCAGCTCCACATCGGTTTTATGTTGTTGCCTCAGAGCTGGAGTCAGGACTGCAGGGGGGGCCTCACCAGAGTGGAGCACAGGGGAAGAATCCCCTCCCTCAGCCTGCTGGTCACACTGCTGGTGATGCAGCCCAGGACACGGGGTGCTTTTCACCCACCAGCACCACCAGGTCCTTCTCCTCAGGGCTGCTCTCAATCCTTTCATCCCCCAGCCTATATTGACACTGGGGGTTGCCAACCAGGTGCAGGATCTTGCTCTTGGCCTGACTATCATCACGTTGATTTGGCCTGAGACATATTTGGGTATTTTGCCTGAAATCGTTCAGAAAGCACTATGATGCTGATTGAAAGGGATGTAGGCAGATACATAAATGAAGCTCAGGTAATTAATTGCCATAAGACATCTGATCAGAAATCTGTTGTGAGTCCAGTGCTATCCTGCTAATCATTTTTATGGTTGTTTAGAGAGTGTGCTTACTAAATTCACAAATAAGAAGTTGAAAGGGGCTGCAGAGAGGACAGGGTTAGTGTTCTAGTGGATCATTTCATGATAAAGAGACAGTAAAAGAAATTAAATTAAGTAATAGGTGAAGCTAACTTGCCTATACAGACAAGAATACTTAGCTGGAGAACACAGAACAAGGAGTTTCTGGTTTTACTGCAGTTCAGCAGGGAAAATTAGGGTTGCAGTAGATCATAGGTAGATACAAATGAGCAACGTCATGGTGTTGGGAAACCAGCACCAATTGTACTGCAAGCATAAACAAAAGCTAAGTTCATAAAATACAGGACGTACCCACTGCACTGCACACCCTTTGTAAAGTGCATCCATCCAGTTCTGTACACTGAGCTTCGATAAAGCAGTGAAAGGGATGAAAACAGCTCAGAAAATGACAGGGGTCAGAAGACAAAAAATAGAAAGACTCAGAAAAGAGAAAAACCCCACAAAAGTGTGAGAAGAAAGCAGCCTGACCAGCAGGTAGAGGGAGGGGATTCTACCCCTCTACTCCACTCTCATTAAGACCCACCCCCCCTTGCAGTCCTGCATCCAGCTCTGGGCCCCCAGCATAAGGAGGGCATGGAGCTGTTGGAGCAAGTCCAGAGGAGACCCTGAAGATGCTCTAAGGGCTGGAACACCTCTGCTATGGAGACAGGCTGAGAGAGCTGGGCTTGTTCAGCCTGGAGAAGAGAAGGCTCCTTAAGGGGAGACCTTAGAGCAGCTTCCAGTGCATAAAGGGGCTACAAGAAACCTGGAGAGGGGCTTTTGACAAGGGCCTGTAGGGACAGGACAAGGGGGAATGGCTTTAACCTGACAGGGGGGAGATTGAGATGAGCTCTTAGGCAGAAGTTCTTCCCTGTGAGGGTGCTGAGGCCCTGGCACAGGGTGCCCAGTGAAGCTGTGGCTGCCCCATCCCTGGCAGTGTTGAAGGCCAGGTTGGAAGGGGCTTGGAGCAACCTGCTCTAGTGGAAGGTGCCCCTGCCCATGGCAGGGGGTTGGAACTGGATGAGCTGTAAGGTCCCTTCCAACCGAAAATATTCTATGATTCTATGAAAATGTGATCAGCAAGAAAAGACTGAAGCAAGCGGAATAATGATGGTCAGGAAAGAGAAGACAGAAATCATCATAGTCCTGAAATCCATGTAAGGTAATGCACTGGAAGGGTATGTTCTAATCTTGGTGGCCAGAATAGGAATTCCATTACTCCAGTCACAGCAAGAGGTCTTCACCTGAAGTATGGGAAAGCCTTTGTAATGAGAGGTGTGTACGGCAGAAAAGATTGAATAGGGTGAGTGTGAAAACCCCATCACCGAAGGTCTGAAAGAAAGATTGGATAAAAAGGACAGTTAAAAACACCGGTGATGAAGCAGAGGGGGTGCACAGCCCCCTCACCCTTACTTTTACACAGTTTCTATATTAAAGCAAGGTCACAGAGAGGAGCGCAAGTCTGAGCCAAGTCGGAGTGGAGAGCAGGGCTGGGCAGAAGCAAGTGCCTGGGAAGGAGTCTAAGAACATGTGTTTACACTCAGGAAAACTCTGTCCAGTAACATAAAGTCTGGTGACTTTCTCAGGAAGGTTTCATATATCTATTTCAATTTGTACCTGCTCATTAGTTTATAAATTGCTTTTTCAATATGTTTGTCTTTTCTATACACTTTGATTTCTTGAAATTCTTGCAAGAGTTCCATGTTTCAGCTGTGCTCAGTGTGAAGAGGACTTTTGTGGTTACTTTTTCAACAAACGCATTATTTACCATTGCATCCCACCTGTTTCTTAGGTTATGGAAATTGAAGAGACATAGTTCATCTCTTCCTGAGGCCTCTATAATTTGCATGGCTTTGTGAAACACCTCAAGTAAGTGCTTCATCCCTTAGCTGGCAAGCACCAGTATATTTAATTTTATGACAATGAGTCTCCAGATCTGCCTTTCTTTTAACCTCTTCTTGCCTACTGTAGGCCATCAGGGATGAGGAGATAGGCATTGCACACACCACAGTGTGATACCCCACAGCCTGATTTCTTACTGTTCATGGTTTGATTCTTACCTGCTCTTTTCAGAGCACTCTCTTCAAGGACTCCCAAACCTTTTCCTAACGTTTTAGGTGATTCAGACCCATCATTTGTAGAGAGATTATCTGGTTTTTCCCAATTCACAGCCTTAAACTTACTGACACTGATTCGGCATTTGACATTTTGCTGCCCTGCTACTCAGTGTTGTAAGATCCATCTACTGCCCTTCATGGACCTAGGCTTGACAGTATTCAGTAAGTTTGCAGCAGTAGCAGCTTCTGCCCCATCACCAGTCCCCTCTCTTTTTTCCTGGCTGTTTATTAAGCCATTAAAGAGCCCAGTGAACTGGGGTTGGAAAAGCTCCTTTGCTCATGTTTGAAGCCCCAGGTCTGTATGGAGGGTTTATGAGGAAGAGGTCACGATCAAAGTGTCTGCAAGTGGTCTGCTCACCCAGGCTCTTGGGAGCTGTCAGCCCCAGTGCTCCTGCCCACCACCCATCAGAGGGGCTAGAGGAGGCAGCGAAAGAGAGTACATTGAACACGGTGTTTGCTGAAGTTATCAGAGAGATGTTGCAGACATGGTTCCCTTCACAAGTCGAGATGGGAACATGGGGTCCTTTCCAAGCCAACAGCCCCACATGGTGACCAGTCTGAACAATGGAGGAAGAGTTATCAGTGCATCGTGGCCACAATTCGGCCTTATTCCATGCCTTTCCATCTCTGCCAGAGGTGGAGAAAGGCCTAAACCCTGCGATACTCATCTTGTTCTCCCCTCATCATTATACCTGCAGATTTCCATCAGGTCCCTCTGACCCATCAGCACAGTCCTAACAACTCTGCTATTGACAGCCCCTATTCATTTGTGCTCTCATCAAAGTCAGCATGCTGATATTGTATCTGATATTGGGTAACCAGGTCTGGGGGACAGAGTGGTTGCCTTCACACTTGGGCACACATGGGCAGTTCTGGTACTCATGCCATCACTGTACGTCCAGCACGACTTGGATGGATTCCCATGTCTCCCCAGCATCCTCTGCTCTGCAGGGAGATGCTCTATAAAATCCAGCAGCCTCAGCCTCCCTGTACATCACCTCCTCCCTTCGAGCTCTCTCCAATCCTCCTTTCTCCAGCCTCACTGAGATCCCAGATCAACTCCAACCATGAAGTTCTTCTACCTTGTCTTCGCTATCTTCCTGCTGGTCTCCCTGGCCACTCCAGGTAAGATGACAAACAGGGTGAGATGAACTTTATACAAGCTCTATACTACTTTTAAAGTAACTTTAGCTCTAGAAAATACAGTTATTGCTCTCTGAGGTGACTGCTATAACCTGGCTGGGTACTTTAATGGCTTCCTTCAAAGGACAATGAAATAAAGACTACCTTAGAGAGATTTATGTACGAATAACTGAGGTTAAAACTTCATCATCCCATTTGGGAGTGAGCCCCAGGCCAGACAAGAGGCTGGATGTGGCCGCTTCTCTTGGGGACTCAGGGAGTTTCATAGTACCAGAGGGGCTCTTCTATGCAAATCAATTTCTCTGTCAATGCTTAATCCTGAGTACATTTGATTTACTGATGGGATATAGATATTACTGCTAATACTTGTTTTTGAGACTGCAAGGCTGCTGTGGGGCCAGTTTCAAGACCTTTGCATCATCCTTTCAGCCATTTCTGAGTGAGAGAGCAATTTTTAAAAGCATGAGTACAGAGACCTGAGTGGACAGCTAAGATTTGAAATATGCTTGATGCTGGTTTTGCTGTTTTGCTCTGAGAACACTGATCCTGTCTCTGAAAGACAGAGCAGACATCTGCAGTCTTGCACAGATGAGCATCTTTATGAACTTTGCTTTCAGGCTGTATCTCAGGATGGGAATGAATGTGCTCTCCTGGGAAGCATCTATTTCCCAAACTACATATGTGTCATCAACCAGCCCTTAGTCATCAGCTGTGGGGAGAGAGATGCACCAGGGGTATCTCAGGCTTGTGCTCTTCAAGGTCCTTTCCTGCTTTTGGGGCTTGGCTTGGGCATGAATGTGGATGTGTGGGAGAATGGATCAGGACCGCCCCACAAGCAGGGTCTCATCCTTGTGACCACTTGTGCCACACTTGTACCCAAAGGTGATGGGAGGGCAAGACACTGACACAGAGGCACTTCTGACTCAACCGCTCTCCCTCTGCCTCCCCTTACAGGCTATGGGCAGATCAGGAAGTACTGCCCCAAGGTGGGCTACTGCTCCAGCAAGTGCTCCAAGGCAGATGTGTGGTCCTTCTCCTCTGACTGCAAGTACTACTGCTGCCTCCCGCCCGGCTGGAAGGCAAAATAGGAGCTGCAAAGGAAGCCCCTGGGGAAGAGGAGGCACCGCGGTGGCTTTGGGAGCAGCTTCTCACCTGTCCAACCCAACTGTCACCCCCTCCTCTCTATAAATAAAAAGAGAAAAAAAGGAGATGGAACTTCTGTGTGTGGTGTGGTTACTGGTGTCCCGTGATCCCATAGAAAGCTTTAGCACAGGTTCTGCAAGCACAGCCCAAAGACTCACCCGCACTTAAAAACATCCACTGACAACAAGCTGCAGAGGTGCTGGTAGTCTTTGAGGTAGGAATTTGAGAAGAAGGTATCTTTTTCCCTCTCGCCTTCTCTATTGTCCTGAACAAAACCCTCTGGAGACAGGGGAGAATCTCCCATTTCCTTACTGCTTTTTCAAGCTACAGGTTTTATGGGGATGTATTGAAAAATGTGGGCATTTCAACAATGCCTCCTTTAAGCATAAAACAGGCCTCTTTCCATGAAAATCTCAGCAAATACCCAGAGTTGGGGAACAGAGAAGCAAATAGGCACTCACAGGCTTCATGCAACGGATTTTATTGAGTAGGTCTCCATGGGCTATCAGAGCAGTGCAGACATCCAGAGCAAAAGGAGACACCCACATGAGAAATCAGAATCAAGGTGTATTTACCTCTGAATTAAACCTGCACAGACTGGATGGACTTGGAGCCAGTGCTTCTGCAGTGTTTGCTCTCCAGGGCAGATAGCCCCAGCATGCTCACAGGCAGTTCTGGAGGGGAAGGTACAACCCAGTGCCAATATCGTTCAGTCTCAAACGTTCACTCATTGCCAGGGATCACAGCCTACACTGTGTTCTGCTGGAGTTCAGTCTGGGCTGGAGGTGCTGTGGTATTTCTTTGCTTCTGCACAAGGGAGAAGGAAGTGAGGGAAGAAACTCATCAATCACAATCTGATATAAATGTAAATGCTAGGACTTCTTACCAGCTTGTGGTGAAGGAGGCTTTAGGTGGGCAATAGAGGCATAAGCTACTCACTACTCTTCTTTGGTCACCTCTGCACTTAGTGCTTTGCTATACCATTCATTTATGTTTACAAAGTCCAACACTCAGAGACTAGGAATGAGTTGCTATTTATACTGTCTGCAGAAAGTAGCTTCCAAATCTATTGGACATAGTTGATGTAGGAGAGCACAAGAAACTTGGGGCATTTCAGGAGTGCTGTCTGTGTTTAGGCAACTGAGTTGAGCCCCACGTTATTAGCTTAGACTCACCTTCAGGCAGGGAAGATAACAACTTGCATGTCCTTTGCAGCCCTCTCAGGTCTCTGCTTTAGAAGGGAAGAAGAAAGGGTCTCAAAGTTGTTGCTGTAACACTGCTCACCACAACCATTCCTACAAGTCAATTCCACGTCTCCTGACCAGGGACCAATGATCCCAATTGTCTGTTGGCAGCCAGACTGGGAGGAGTCCAGCTCCCAAGGCAGAGGTGCCTGCACACTTGAGGTGAGGCCACATGAGATGCCTTCAAAGAGTCAGTGACAAACGGGCACAGAATGGACGTCTCATTGTCAGATGGCCACTGGGTTGGAGTGACATAATACCCTGCTAAGCAGCAAACAATGTGTCCTTGAACAACAGCGAAGTCATGCTCCTCCTTAACACTGTCCTCTCTGTCGAGAAATGTCTATAAATATCAGGGTCTCCAGCCTTTCTCTTAGCAACTGCTGCAAGATCTCTCTGCAAAGCTGCATCCCAGACCTGCTGTCATCCATCCCAGTGGATATCCAGTCATGAAGATTATTTATGTCGTGTTTGCTGTTTTTCTAATGGCCTTGATGGCTACCCCAGGTAAGGTGGCAAATTATGTGGGGCAGAAATGAGAGATAATAGTGAACCATAAAGGAATTCAGGTTGAAAAAAGAATTTCCCTAGGAAAGTAGGTGTGGGTGGTGAGTCTTGTATGGAGATTTTGATTGGGTTCAGCTCATGAGACTTCTGGAGTGGAATTCAGCTCTGGAATCACACCAGCCTAGATTTAGAGCCCTCCCTTATATGGGGGTCTCCCTGTGAACTGGATCCCATCAGTCATTGGATAGAGTCAGACAAATTCAGTTCATCTCAAGTGAAATACCCAGGGTGTGACTATACTGATAAATTCAGCAGTGCCAGGACTGGGGCTCTATTTGACATTCAAACTAAGTCTTCCATGCCATTTAATTGACAGCACTGTCACTGGCTCAGTTTTGCTCTTGGCCAAATAACATGGAATCAAGCCACTCTTTAGACAAGTGTTGACAGTGGCCAGGGTCCATTCCCAAGTATCAGTGTGGTTGTGGACATGTTTTAAGGAGAGATTTTACTGGGTGGTGATGACATTTCTGTGCTGTTGACCATGATGAATTAGTCAATGCAGATTTTTTCCTGCTTTCTTTTTTTTCCTTCTACAGGCAAAAGCCATCCAAAAAAGAGCTGCAGGGGGTATTGTTCCAGGACATGTGCTAAAGAGGAGAAGGAGGAGCACACTGAAGACTGCAGAAGGATGCACTGTTGCCTGACACACAGGAAGAAGAAGTAGAGCAAAGATTTCTGGCGATGAGAGGAGGGGGTTAATAGTGATATTTGGGTTAGTTTCTTCTTGTTTGATGGAAATGGATCTTGCTTCTCTCATTAAAAAAAAATAGCAGTTATCACCCTGAAATGTGCTGTGTGGTCCATTGACTTCCAAAAAATTGTGTGCCAAGGCTCAGGAAAGATCTGGTAAGTCTTGCCAGATAGGTTCATGCTTATGGAGATGATGTGGTCAAACACAGATACTGCACTTTCTGATACCAGCCTCATCACAACAGGGGTCGTAAGTGAGTTTATTAGTAGTCTGTTCATGTGAAGTTGTGCCTTTCATGATTCAAATCCTGCAGACAGTGTGGGGTGTTATCAGAGAGAAATCCACCATGTGCCCATCACTGTCCTCCTGAGGTCCATTCCACACGCAGACTGAGATGATCTATCAGCAATGACCATCCCCAAGACTTTGCATGTTCTATAGATCTATTACTAAACATGCCCACATTGATAGCTCTGAGGTGTGGCTTCTAAGCTAACGCTTACTCACTGGCCAAGTTGCGATACCATCCACCAGACCCCCAAAGGTCCCACAAAACCACTAAGTGTTATACTTGGAGTGGTTGGCCAGTACTGGCTGAAAGCTGTGATCACCATGGTGTGTTCACGCTGCCAACACCATCTTTGCCTTGTAGGACCAGAGAACCCTACATAGGTTTCCATTACCTCTTTTTTCTGGTCCAGAAAATGTGAACCAGCAGCCCAGACATAATCCAGTGAAGGTGGTGTTTTCAGTTGCCAAAGCCCCTTTGGATTTCTTTAGATGTCTTCAACATGTAAGTAACCTTCCAGACAACTGGGATGTCCTATCCCCAGCCCTCACCCTACTGCTCTGCCAATACATTAGGAACCAATTCTCTAAAGCATTTGTATCCCATGATATTGATGTTTCCTCCCATTCTTCCCTCACTGTTTGTCCATAGGGACCTCAGAAGGCAGCAAATTCCTGCTAAAGCCTTCGTTTTGGTCTTCAGTGGTGCCTTGGTCCTGGAGTCATTTATACATGAGCAAAGCTCTCACTGACATAAATGGTGTAAGATCAACACTAAAATGAGAGGGGGAATACAGTAATGATCACTGCTTTGTGAGCAGCCCTGTGCTGTGCTGCAGAGGTACCCTGTAAGCACAGCTTCCTTGGGACTCAGTAGCTGGAGAATTAAGCAGAAGAGAGATGCAATCTGTCACGTCTCACATAACAGATTGGACCTAGCTAGGGCTGGTACAGCCTAAAAATGGTGCTGTGGCTTCTGAATATGCAAATTGCCACCAGCAATTAAGTATTGTCCCCACATGAACTTAATTTTTTCCCCTTCAGCAGTCTTGTGCTCATTAAGCCCTGTTTTCTCCAAAACTGGGTAACTCTCTTAGAGTTTGCATGATGGGGTAAATAGCCCATGGCATCCATGCTGGACCACAAGGAGACTCTTCCCAAGGAAGCAGCATGAGGAATTTGCCCTTCAACCTCTTATTCTTGGCCAAGGCAGCATCTCTTAGCATCATTGGGTCCACTTGAAGGAGAAAGATCTGGTGAATATGAAAGTGATCTGTGATCCACTGGTGAAGTCAGAAATGCAGCCACTGACAGCAGCAAAGAACCTGACCTTGTGTGGCGCAGATCCTAGAAAATATAAGGAATAGGCAGGGAAATGCATCCTAAGCCCCGAAAATTGTCCATTCCAATGCCATTTTGGAAGATCTCACCATGGGATAGGCATGTGTTACCGAGATGCTAAATAATAGTTCTGAGGCACTTGCCTTCCTGACGCTCATTTGTATTTCACCCTGCTAAAGAAATCCAACCAGGAATGTGCAGGGAACACAACATGCCTCCCTCAAGGCACATCTGTGGTTGTTTCCACACAAGCTGGGCATCCTGTGCAATGTCTTGCAGCTTTGTTTTCCCATGTCAAAGCACATTCCCTGTGAATTATCCAGCCTTACTGCTGTGGGACAGTGCTGGAAGAATCAGGCAGTCCTCCACATGGACTCTTTCCTTCCTTTTTTTTGTCCTGTGCTTTTATTTAAACAAGAATTTAAAATGCCTGGATATGAAATAAACATTTTGCCTGTTCTTGAATGAATTCTTTCTTCTTTTTTGGACAAAAAGAAAAACAAAAAAAAAATCAATTCCTTTTTGGATCAAAGTCAGTTTCTTTCAATTCTTGGGGCTTGCCAAGGAGCCAGAAAATCTACTGTGTGCCCCTCTCTGGTTCGAAGAACAGGGCCATGCACCAGTTCTGCAGGGGGAAGCAGAGCACACAAGCTAGATGAGAAAGAACTATCTAGGGCTTTTCTTTTCTCATCATTCTCTTGGGAGATAAAGCATAAAGCAACTCAAATAAGCTTCATGCATTGCTGACCCTGGCTCGCATTCATCATGGAGATTTTCTCTCCTTTTCTAGTAATGACACTTAGAAACCATGCTGCAGGGCGTTGTGAATGCTGAGATTTCACTTTGATTCAAAGGGAAATGGAGTGGGTTTCCTGGAGAGGAATTCACTGTGGCTCAGGGCATTGCCTTCTCTCAATGCTTGAGGCCA